CAGGACAGCCATCCTGGTACCCATTTTAAGCTGGGTCGACCTGCGACGCCCCATACCATGATAAAAATCAACGCAGCCAGCAGTGGGTTTCGATCGCGGTAGGTTAGAATTACGAGTCGGACTCGCAACGCCCAAGCCACAGACGCCGCATAATAATATGGTGGTGTAATTTACAAAAAAGTTAAAATTCGAATTAAAACAATAACTCTTCACTACCCGTGTTTAGGTAGCAGCTGTGGTGTAGTGGCTAGAAGCCCGGTTTGGATCCGAAAGTCGTAGATTCAGGTCCTGACGAAGCCGGAGTTATTCTTCAGAAATAACCTTGACTCTTAGGTCGACCCTGCCTTAAGTGGGTACCAGGTAAAGTCCCGAGAAGTCAAGGCAGTCAGTGTGATAATCATATCGCCCATCGAGTGCCAAATTGTCTATCAAATAGAGGCCTAGCCCCATATACCCAACACGCCTGCAAGTGTGAAAAAGAAGGATATTTTACTTACCTTTGCCTGCCACTTTTCAGATGTCCTACCTGGGGAAAGGGGGTTGTGGGAGCACCCCCTAAGGGAGCGTGAAAAAATGTCAACATGGGCCGGGGCGGGAACAAGCAATTTAAAAAGTGAGTTTCTTTGTACTGGTATTAATCAAGATTTTCAGCTGTAACAGTCGTGAAAAACAAAATAGCACTTCTAGCTTAATATGGAGAGTGATTTTCGTTATCCTTAGCCCACCATCAGCTGAACGGCAAAACACAGTCATCACATTGATATCTAGACATATAATTATCAGTTGTTGGTGATTATTTGTCATTGGACACTTAGAATTATGGGCGTGTTTTTCTCCCAGTTTAAACAGTAATTGTGGTTTTTTTTTTCTGTCTCTCCTCATTTTTAATGCTATTTTAGTAGTGGGGGTGGTGGGGGAGTTGGAAAAGGGGGGGGGGGGGGGGTCCGACTGGCAAAGTCTGTGCAATCGTGTAATCTTGCTATGTTGTCTGGTTTGGTATATCGCAATCACGTGAGGCTGAATTAGCAAGCTACAGTCGGAGCGATAGCTTGCTTGCGTAAAGCAGCACACAGCACGAAACTCCATAGCTGCAGCAACGACTCACAGTGATCCAATCACCTGCAATCGTGAACGCAGCGATGGAATCCTTAATCTAAGGCTCCATTTTCAGATCGCATGACCAACGGCTTTGACGCTTCGCTATGCCGACATAAAAAATGAGGCACGGACTGGGTAATTTTCAAGGTCTCGTGGTGACAGTGTTAGCGTCTGTGGCCTAGGCGTTGCGAACGTGACTCATAATTATGAAATACCCTGATCGGTTGAAGATGTAGACGATTTGGCAGCAGCCCCTTTTTGCTTTGATTCTGACAGCGGTATCGATCAATGATCGGTTTGATTTTAAAACTACATGCACTGGCAAACTACTATACTTGAAAATACTAGCAGAACCGAACAGTCAAGAAATGCTGGCGTTAGTTTTGCAACGTACTGTAAGGATACCACTACTGACTATCTAGGATACAAGAGACTTTCTGCAACCGATTTACCAGACGACAGCATTAACTGAAAATCAGTCAAGCATACCGCAGCACGGACCGGAAATCAATCCGGTCAGCATGACCAAATTTAGGATTCACAGACAGCGTCTGTTTTCTTGATCACCCGTGACGGCTTTGTCTGAGTATTGATCTGAAGGGCTGGGAAACAAAAGCAGAATCCGCTAACAGAGACAATGAACAGGCCAAAGTTACATCTAACAAAGAAAATATTAGGCACTGTTTTGCACTCCTTTAATAAAGACGCAGCGCGACTTAGCGGTTTAGATTGTTTGTTTGTTTTAGTATCCAGAAGCCATGAGTTGTCAACCCTTAAGCTCGGTATTATGGATATCGCAACCTTTCGGCCTTGATTCCATTGTGAATACCGTAAATCTGGGAGAAATGTGGCTTTTCTGCCTACCCCCGGGAGTGAACCCAGAACACAAGAAGTTCGTCACCTGGCCACTGCGCAATACGGTTTAGACAACTACGCTAGAGAGCCGGGCAGTGCTTTAGATAAGATGTCAAGGAAAGATCCCCAGTAAACAGTTTTAGCGTTCGCGTCTAGCGTATTATTTTCTCTATATGGAAGGTTAGCGGCGTCCGTGGCTTAGGCGCTGCAAGCTTGACTCGTAATTCCAACGTACGGCAATCGAAACCCACTGCTGGCTGAGTGGATTTTAATCATGGTATGGGGCATCACAGGTCCACCCAGCCTCCAATGGGTACCAGGATGTATGTCCTGGAGAAGTAAAGACGGCCGGCGTAATGCTGACCACATTACCCACATAGTGCCTATTGGTCTCTAAAATTATGGGTGCTCTTCCCATATGCCCGATGCGCCCAAAAGCGTGAAAAGGTATAGTCACTTTATATTGAAACAAGTGTGAACGAGGGATCACTTCTACTAATGATTGGTAGACTCCTGCTGTACGTGCTTCCCTGTGGAGTTTCTTCTTATTGAAGGTGGGGTAAACATTTTAGGACGTGACGCCACATTCTATGATAAAAATCCACGCCAGCCGACAGTGGGTTTTCATCATGGTAGGTTGGAATTGCGAGTCGAACTCGCAAAGCCTAAGCCACGGACACCACCTTCATAGAAGGTAAATAATTTGAGAACAAAGAAGCTACTTGAAGTATTTAAAGCAGGTAAAAGACCTAGAAGCGTAAAGAGTCATGTTTTGCCGGTCCGCGGGTGTAAAAATGTTGAAGAACACTGCTCTATGCACTTCAGTATAAACGATTTCAGTTTTGAGGAAGCCCTTCTTGAAAATGCCGAGGCAAGTACTTTTGGCGATGTAAAGTGTCAGAAATTACGGCACGAGCTTGAACCCATTTCTCGTTAGCCAGGTTTTTCATTATGACCTGTCAAAAAAGAAATATGAACCTAGGGTTGCGTAACTGTTTCACTCTTTCCCTGTGCTACCGAAGTGACTCTCCAGCGTATGTTAGCTTAAGATATTCTTTACACACCTCGTGACTTATAAGAAAACAATTTGAGAAGCCCAATGACATAATCTCTGAGCAGTAAAGACATCTGGAGGTGCTGAGGGCAGGTTGTGTTTGTCATTTCTGAGGACAACTACGGCAACATGCTGAGGTATGTAACAGGGAAGTTCATCACCATTCACAAAAATTAAAACGACCACAAATGGGCTCACACTACGCCTGGGGCTCAGATTACCTTGAACTGCCACCCAAAATATTTTTGGATCTTGGGGGAAAAAAAAGGGGGGGGGGGTGGTAATAGATAAACCACCTCCCCCTCCCCTAATCATTAGCATAAACTCTTTGCTGAAGGTGACTTATTTTGAGCACCCATCCTATGATTTCAAATGACTTCAAATGGAATAAACAGCGATACCAGCCTACCTTATGATGCAGTCGTTCTAACTTAGAATAACAGTAAACCACTACATTTAAAGTTAGTTGTATGTTGTTTACAAGACGTCACAAACCAGTCCTAGCATTTATTCACTGATTGGTTTTCCTAGGCATTGTTTCGTTCAGTAGTTTGCTACTTAGTTTTTTAAGAAGCGATGCTCGTACCAGAGATCTTTGGTCATGTGATGAGAAAAGGAGCCCTGTAAAATTTCATGACGACTGGAAAGATCACTGGGAGAAGATGTAGAGGCAGACCAAGACAAATAATGGCAGATGGCTTCAGACTGTTGCATGAAGGAATATCATCACTGGAAGTGACCCAGAACACCAAATACCAAGATCTGTGGAGATGTTTGAATGCTTACGCTGGCAAAGCACTTGATGATGATGATGACGTTCATACAGTTGGCAAAATTAACACAAATTGATCTGCCATCAAAGTGCTTAGGCTGACTTGGAAACCATGTTCTAGTGGGACTGTGAAACTCTTCATGTCCAAAACGGCTAGGGTGACCATACGTCCTTCCCACCCTTCCCCTTTATTAAGCTGTGTCAGCTGTCCCATCAGTACTCCCAAAACTCACCAATTGTACCGTTTTATAAAATAAATTCTTAGAATTAGCTCCATAACAGAACACAAACTAATAGCTATATCTGCAGATCTTACTTTTAATGCCTGAAATGTATTGATGGAAATTTTCACTGTAAATTTTTTTTTAAATAGTGCAAGTAATCTTCTTCTTCTTTTTCTTCTTCTTCTTCTTCACGATCACCAGCTGTAAACTCTGGCAGAAAGTTCTGGTTGTTCATCCACTTCTGGACTGCAGTCCTGTTCCAGAACCTGAATGTTGCGTGTGCATGCGTTTTACAGATCTGACTAATTTGTATGCAGACTGCTGGTTCCTTGCCTCTCACGCAGATGCAATCCGACTTCGAAGAAAGCTCCAAATTAGTCGACTCTTACGACATGCTTTTGGGTAGGCATTGAGTCTATTCTTGTTTTTCCTCATAATAGGGCCCCGGAACCCATACGGGGAGTGCAAGTAATGAGGTCTGCAGACTCCTTCCCAGGGATCCCTAATAGGTGCAGCTCATAGTGAGGTTAAGCATTCATGTGTAGGACCTGACTAGAGCGACGTTTTGATGTTTCAGCTTTACATTTATGGAAGCCTCCTTGAATGATGGGCCTGCCCCTGCCTTCCATGGAAGGTTGACTAAATCTGCGTGCAGCTGATCTCAATAGGGTCCTCCAGGGATCATGGGATAATGAAGACACAACATAAATGACGCCACAAATGTCCCACAGTGTCCCAAACAAACTGAAAAGGCTAACCCGGATAACAAATGACACATCTGAAAGGCACACATCTTGCAGCCATGTTGTAAACAGGCACAGTGCATTTACATTACTCACTCAGATAAACGATGAAGAAGAAGTAGTACACCACAACACAATAAATTAAAAAGATAATAATAAAAGAAAGTAAAAAAAAATCACAGTTAAATGCACATACTGAGAGAAAACCAAAATATACATAACACAGTGTACACACAAAGTCTACTATGACGAACCTGATGCTTCTGTAGTTTCTCCACCAGTTCAGCTTGTGTCCAGTCATTGTTGACAGTCAGTGGAACAAGTGCTGCCTCTACTTCAGTCAGCCATTGCTTCAAGGTTGTCAGGTCCTTCTGTAAATCTGCATCGAGGATGGACTTGTAAATATAAACATAACCTATTCCTGTCTGGGGAGTTGTCATGGTGTAACGGCTAAGATGCTTGCCTGTGAATCGGAAGGTCATGGTTCGGGTATTGATGGAGCCAGCAGTTTTTTTTTTTAGAAATGACCTTGGCTCCCTGTTCGACCCAGCTTTGAGTTAGTACCAGGTGCAGTCCTGGGAAATAAAGGCAGCTGGTGTGATGCTGACCACTTCACCCCTAAGTGCTGATTGGTCTCTAAAACATAGGCCACTTCTCTACGTTAGTCTTGTTCCATAAATTGAGTTTTGTGTGCACATCCATTTTCCAGATTTGGCTTATTTGTATGCAGAGTGTTGGTTCCTGACCTCTCAGGAGATGCACTCTGACTTTGAAGAAAACTATCCATAATTAGTCGATTTTTATGACATGTTTGTGGAGGGAAGGGGGAGGGGTGCTTTATGGAACAAAAAAGTGGCCTCAGAACCCACACAGGGACCTCTGGCATATAACAATGAAAACAATATGTAAAGAAAACTCTTGCACTCTCCGGAATAGTCATCCCCTTGTAAGATGCAAATTTAGTTGTTTTGAAGCCCCACTCTGGCTCTTGCCAGGAGCGGCAATATAGGCCAGCCATAAATATGGTCTAATGGCTGAACGCGGTTTCTGGGACCTCTCCACGGTGATCCTCATCCACATGGTGTCTCTTTGTGTCATCGGGTGTTTATCACTTGTGTGATGTCCTGGTGGGGTAAAATGTACTACTACTACTAGGGAGGGAAACATTACTAACCTAAGTCTGTTGCTGTACAGTAATGAAAACCATACAGGTTTCTACGATGTCGATGGACAGGAGTCAGGCTTAAGAGATTTCTTTTTTTTTTTCTGCATTTGCCCTTTAAAGGATTATTGGCATTGTCTTGTGGTTTACAGCTATAATGCGGCCACTTAGCCTTTCGGCCTGGCACATTGAATTTCAGTAAAACACAATTGATTGCCTCTTACAAAATGCTTGTTAGAGTCATTAGATATATTAGAGACGCAGAAGCAGAACGGAGAACTTGAACTGTGTTCCACAGCATTTCAGCCTAACCAAACAACCATACCAGCATTATCTTGTTCAGTCCACCAGGATTACAAACTGCATCAGGATTACAAACTGCATCAGGATTACAAACTGCATCAGGATTACAAACTGCATCAGGATTACAAACTGCATCAGGATTACAAACTGAATCAGGATTACAAACTGCATCAGGATTACAAACTCCATCAGGATTACAAACTCCGATCCCTGTCAGTTTTTCCCTTTCTGGTTGGTACATATAGGATTGACCAAACCTAAGACTTTAAAAAACTAAGCCTAAATGGCAAACCAACAAAATACCACATTCAACATCCACAGAAGTTCAGTCAATCTTCTGTGTGAATGATCTTTCAGAGGATATAAATCAGAACATATCTTTTCATTTTTAAAGTTCTCCACTGCAAAAAGTCCGAGTTCCAAGACCATGTACACAAATTTTTTTTTTTCAGCTTGACCATATTTAATCTGCTGTTAGCTGTCCGAAGCCATCAACAGTCTCCGATTATATTCATGGTCTGGTTCATTTGCGCCACTTGCGTGGCTAATGTTCTATTATTTGCACCATCTCTCTGACTAAATCCTTCATCCTCTCAGTTAGACCGCACATCCCTTACTGATGTACTATTGTGTTTCTTCCTCTTGGGCTGTGCATTTCCTAATTTGGCCAGGCTCCACTGCAGAATCTATCTATCATCTTTTATCCCACCAGGACATAACACAAGCGATAAACACCCGATGACGCAAAGTGCCACCATGTGGATGAGGATCACCCGTGGAGAGGTCACAGAAACCATATTTATGGCCGGGCTATATTGCGGCCCCTGGCAAGAGGAAGAGTAGGACTTCAAATAACGAAAAATTGCAAACACAAAGGGATGACTAGTCTGCAAAAAAAAAAAAAAACGATACCTTCCTTATAAAGCTAATTAACTAAGAGAGACAACTACAAAATACACGCTGTTTCATCTGTTATCACGGAGTTATAACCCTTGTAAACGTCTGCGGCAACGTTTTTTAAAATGTTACTGGCTGATATTTGCAGTCCAGTTAAAACAGAAAACAAATGTTAACAAGTTTAGTGAACACGACTGGCAGGGGAACCTGGCGGCAATGGCCGCTTGAGCTGACCCCCCCCCCCCCACCTTCTCTCGCCAACCATGTAAATAAATTCTTTATTAAAGCATGTATTTATGAATTTCATATAATTTTGAGTGCATGTATTTGTTATTCAGCAGATTATTATTAATATTATTATCATTATGCCCTTAATCAAGGCTTAGGGGCTTTAATATATACACAGTCACGGGTTTTGTCCTTTTTAGGACGAAATTTTTTGTTATTTGAAGCCCCACCCTGGTTTTGCCAGGGGCCGCAATATAGGCAGGCCATAAATATGGCCAATTGTCTGAATGCAGTTTCTAGGACCTCTCCACGGTGATCCTCATCCACATGGTGGCACTTTGTGTCATCGGGTGTTTATCGCTTGTGTGATGTCCTGGTGGGGTAGAAAGTCAGTCAGTCAGTCAGTTAGGGGCTTAGTTCTTTTTAAGACCTCCTCTTAAAATCTTTTAAGGGTTCTAAATAAGCATCCCCCCTACCGAACTGCCTATGTTTTCTTTGTGTCGACATCTGTTTTCTGGTACCAATTAGAGGCTGGATCAACTTGGGAAAATAAGCCAATTTTGTTGGCACCTCTCTATATTTCCTGACCATAGTGTTATCTTATGCTGGAGGTTTGAGAGGGCAGTGGGAATCACAACCCTAGATGAAGAATATGACTAGCAAGATCCGCCTGCATTAAAACAAGTCTTGCACAATCTGAGCATGAGATTCAGGACCATTGTTATCATCACTTGTGTCTGAAGTGATTTTTCTCAGAGCTCAGCTCTCATCCTTACTGCAATCTTTGTTGTCCTTTATTCTCATTCCCCTCCTGATTTCCCCATCCACACTATACGGCCCTTTGTTCCCATAAATCTACCTCAGTATCTGTATCATTCATGTCCCACTTGCACACATGTTTTAGAGGCCAGCCTGGGCGTCTACCTATCTGTAATTCATCATCAAGAATGTTCTTAGTGAATCTACCATCCTACATTCCCCAAGTGTGACCCAGCCAACTGAGCCTTCAGTAACTGAGCACTGAGACAACAGTTTGACATCTCTTTCCAATTTAAGACATTCATAACATTAGCCAGAAGACAAGCCCAACCTTTCTTCATAGCTTCAGGGTTGCGCAAGTGAAAGCTAGTGTTGACTGCTTGCTCCAGATCCACCCACTGTACGTCCAATGCCGCCATTCTTTCTTTAATCTCATCGGCAACTTTAGGGCAAAACATCACAAGTTGGCTTGAATAGTCTTCGAGAACCTGTCGGCGAGAAGATCGCTCCAGCATTTCCTCATGGTAACTCTGGAATAATGGTAAGTAAGAAAGATCTAGAAACTGGAAACAAACGCCTGCTAGGGAAGGCAAGAAAATATATAAAGTAAAACATTTAAGCTACAGTTAAAGATTCAGAACTCTTATTTTTCATTTTCACCTGTTCTTTGCTTCTGTTCGCATCAAATCGGTCTTCTTGGTAAAATCCATGGTGTGTGGAGTTGACCGTCATACCAGATTATCAGTTGTGCTACTCCCATGAACCATACACGTCAGCAGCAAGTCTTTGAGGGTTCCCAAAAGTTTGTCCTGGATCGGGGGGGGGGGGGGGGGGGGGGGGTGGCGCTTCGTGGACTCAAAGCATGGTGTCCGCCTCGAGTGCTAGAGGTTCCGGGTTCAGTACCCAGTAAGGGCTGGGATTTTTTGACGTGATCTTGACTTCTAGTAATTCCCCCTGGTCTCTGGGTAGTGGATCAGAGGCCCGAGTGCATTGTTGAGCACGTAAAAAACCCCTTGGCAGTTGGAAATCGAAAAGAGTAACCTAACGGCGCTGCCCGGGCAAAATTTTGAGTTAAAAATCTACCTAAAGTATTTCAGGATCCTCGCCGGGCTACAGAGCCTGTGCACTGTGCTGAGCTTCTTCGGACTCATTGAGTTAGAAGAAGAACGGAGCACTTATAGGTTACTACCCTTATGCGATGATGTTGATCCGTTGTTCAAAACCTTTTCTGGAAACCTCTTTCCTCTGGCCAATAATTGTTAATACAGGTGCGTTACCATACCTTTATGCCAGACTCTGTGACATCTATTTTGTCCCACCTCTATCCCTCCCCCTTTTACCAACTTTTCTGTTGTCACGACGTTCTCTAATTTAATTTCCCCCTTTCGTGATCAAGTGACGATGAATTTGCCCTTGAACACATATGTCTGCCCGCGAGTGTCTTAGTAGCCTATGAAGAAATCCCACCCTATGGCTTAGTTTATTTATTTTTTGTTTCAAAGTTTTACCCCTTCAGATTTGCATTCTCGAGGAGTAGCAACTCAAGGATGAGAATCAATCAGCCACATAACACGTTCAACCGTGAAGCTTTATAGCAGTTATACTGGGGCACCACAAAACGTTTATAAAATAACACGTAGACAGGAACGGCTGGGTTTTATTTTTAGTATGTTCTATCTCTGTCGTGTAAAATACCAACCCACACGAGAAGTAGAACTAGACTGCGCCAGAATACCACAATCATGAACGACAAAATTAACGTTGTAGCTATAAAGCCGTTTTAACCCATGATAGACAAAGCCTTCTTTTCGTTTCAGTTGTTCAAACTCGTACACATGATTTGGGAAAGTCGCATTTTCATTTCTTGACCAACCTTCCGAGGAGAGGCTGATCGAAAGATTAAGAGCGCCGGACTCTCATGCAGGAGGCACAGGTTCAACAGAACCCTCGGTAAATTCATAGATTTGTTTCTTTCTGCCAGGACAGGCCATTTTACTGTTCTGAACAAAATTGGGTGAAATAATGACAAGATCTAGAGCAAGAGGCAGACCGAGAGTAGATGGATAACAAGATAGTTCTTTACGTGCACACTGGCCCCTAATGAGAAGAGAGACATGTGGACAAGACAAGAGACAAAATATCGTGTAACAACATTGGAGAAGATCAAGTGGAAAACAGGTGTACGGGGTAGGCAGACCAAGAGAGACGATGCTGGATGGGCTGAAATGAGAGCATGGAGAGATATAATCAAGAGGCTGTTCCAGGCAACCAAAGATCGTGATCTGTGGAGATGCATGAACGCTTACGCTAGTTGGCAGGGCACATGATGATGATGAGTGATGTGCGTCCCCAGCCACTAGGACCAATCGGTCAACACCAGATCCGCTTTCGTCCATTCACTAAAAGTGGGTCAACAGCTCCGAGTGGGTCGATCAATACTGTGTCCTAGAAACATCATCATTCTTGAGGATGTGTCACCAACGCCTAGTTGTTTCTTCCACTTATTTGCTGTTCACCAGCTTCTTCATTTCTAACGATACAGGACATCTCGTGTTCTGAGCTTTGAGACAACTCTCTCTCTCTCTCTCTCTCTCTCTCTCGCTATGTTTGTGTGTGGGGGAGGGTTGTTGTATGTTTGTGTGTGGGGGAGGGGTGGTTTGAGGGGGGAAAGGAGAGATTGAGCAAGAGGGAAAAGGGATGTAACATTAATCTTCTTCTGTTTTTCTCTCCCACAAGCTTATCCCCCTCTTCTTAATTTATATGAAAGCTCTCAAAAATTGTGTAGACCAAGCCCTTCGTTCGTGACTGGTTTTTACAGGCACGTTTTCAACGTAATGAAGCAATCAGTCTCAGGCCTAGAATTAACTATGATTGCCTCCTGTAACATGCAGGGTAGATTTCAGTGTTTGTTATTAATTGGTCAGGCAACAACACATTTCACCTTACTTCTGCTTCTACTACTCTAACTAGAGGCCAGCAGAATGAATGACAATTAGTTGACTCGATAGCCCTTATTCGTGTTTAAAACAAAATTTAGTGCCCAGTCCTTGCTCCATGACGCACAGGTAACCAAGCAACTCTCACTAACTAAACAAACTGGCAAGTTACTTGCCACCTGCTGACCGACCAGCGTTACAATGTTGCCAGATAATAGATACATTTTGCTTGTTTGCAGTGCTTTCTTTTCTGGCGATACACAGTATCAGCCCATTTTTTGGGGCGCATGTTTTTCACGTTGTTTCAAGTTTATATAGACCATTTGTCGTTAGTACCCGTACCTTTTCTTTTAGATATTTTATGATGAGTATCGACAACTATTTTCTCTTGGAACAAACATACTCTTCTTGTTTGGGTGACATGCCTAACCTTGTGAATTGGGGTTTTATCACAATATAAGTCACAAGTTAATAATCCACTCTGTGTGTCTGTGTGTGTGACAGTGTGTATATGTGTAGCAATAACACAACGTGCACGTGTTTAGCAATAGCACAATGTGTCAGATGGGCCAAATGCTTGAAAATTGCCCTTTCCTTGGGCAAACAATGTTTGTCGTATTGTCCCATCGAGCAGAAAGCCGCTGTTTTCTAATTTCCACAAATATGATATCCTATTTGGGCGTTCCACACTTCAAACGGAATCGTAAACAAATGAAGTCAGCGCCTAATACACATAGGGTGAAAGAAGATCATGTTTAAGAACAATCAATGGATGTGACTGACTCCCGTGAATCAACCCGGATTGAGTGGCTGTGAATAACTGCAGCTGTTGTGTTGTATGGAGCAGCTAGAATCTCTCACACAGGAGATCCGGAATCGGAAAAAATAGGGATTTAAAACAAATGCTGATAAAACTGCTAGCATGGTATTAAACTTTAGGAATCAACTTTTTGAACCCAGTGACCCTTGAACATGTCTACAACTGTTATCCAAAACCCGAATGGACACACGTTTACACCGATGGATCATTGGAGGCAGCAGACAAAAATGAAGCAGCTGGATCGGTCATCATGCTGCAAGATGGGTCCACAGTAGAAACGTCATGCGCCTCCAGAAAACTCTCATCAAACTTCAGAGCAGAGCAGCAAGCAATTATTGATTCAGCCAAAGTGCGTGGGAAAAGGAAAATTAAAAACAGCAAAATTGTTTTCCTTTGTGACTGCATGTCAGTCCTCCAGACGACTCATAGGGATCCACGAGATAACATGGAAAGAGAACTGATCCGTCAGCTAAACAGACTCACAGAAAACAATCAAATTGTTCTCCAGTGGATCCTGGCTCACTGCGGCATACCAGGAAATGAGTTAGCAGACAGACTTGCAAAAAATGGAACAAAGAAGAAACAACACGCCCATTTATTGTCATTACCAGAAATCAGAACACTTATCAAAGGAAAATACCAGGGATTGTGAAGAGAACAAACCAACAGTAAACATCCACAAGACCCCATCAGCAGACTCAACAGAAAGCAACATACAACAATTTTCCGTCTACGAACAGGACACTGCAGGCTCAACTACAATCATCATCAGGTGCCTTGCCGACTGGCGTGGACGATCATGCCTCTCCACAATCTGTGATCTCCTGCAGCATGTATCAGTTCATGTGCCGACACACCTCCATGCCACGCAACAAGACTGTCGAGAATCTTCTCTCGTTGTCTTCCTCTTTCTCTCCTTCCACATATCTTTCCAGTGGTCACAACATGTTCTATTTTCCCTCTTCTCATAACATGGCCGAAAAATTATGACTGTCTCCTTCTGATGTCTGTGATAAGTTTTTTTCGGGCTCCCGCCTCTTTTAAAACCTCTTGGTTGCTCTTTTTGGCCGTCCAATGTATTCTAAGCATTTTTCTGTAAACCACATCTCCGAGGCCTCCAGAAATTGTTTGGCCTACCTACCAATTGTCCAGGATTCACAGCCATATGTTAAAACTGGATGTATGTAGCAAGCAAGAATTCTTTTTCTAACTCTCAATGACAAAGATATATTGCACAAGATGTTTTTCATTTTATAAAATGCAGTTTTTGCCTGTCCAATTCTGTTTCTTATCTCAGTTATGCATCTTCCATCTGATGTTATCCATGTGCCCAGATACCTAAATTTCTGTACTTGTCCTAAAATAACACCATCAACTTTAATTACACACTTAGAAACTTAGAAATCGTCACCCAGCTTCTGAGTTGAGTGCATGGTGTGACACTGTGTTTTTCGTTGGCACAGGAGCGGAGCAACAATGGGGTGACCCGTTTGCTATGATGCTGAAACTAGGATTACCAGATTAGGATTACTTAGGAATAATTCGTTTCTTTGATACCACCATTACTTCTGTCTTCCCATTATTCAAACTGAGGCCCATTCTTCCACTTTCTAACACCACAATGTCTATCATTTCCTGTAGTTCTTTCTGACTTGTTGCTATCAAGACTGTGTCATCAGCATAACGTAAATTGTTTATATTGTGCCCACCAACCACAATTCCGGGCATACAAATTAAAGCTCTCATTATATATTCACTGTATATCGAAAACAAA